CACTCCCCAGTGTGCTGTTAGTCACTCCCCAGTGTGCTTTTAGTCACTCCCCAGTGTGCTTTTAGTCACTCCCCAGTGTGCTGTCTGTCACTCCCCAGTGTGCTGTCAGTCACTCCCCAGTGTGCTGTCAGTCACTCCCCAGTGTGCTTTCTGTCCGCGGTGCACGCTTTGCCCGAGTGGAATCCTCCCTTTCGCCCCATCATGCTCCTCTTCAAGTCAACTTAGTGTATGCGATGCACGCCTGGCGCTCCGCTCCTCCTCCCTGAAACGGGTTGGGGTCTGCTGTGTACGCCTTGCTCGCCTCTGGATACTGTCCCGCCTGTTCCCCCTTGGCTTTCCCGTGGTCTGTCCTATATCCTGTCTCGGTCCCAGCTCCCACGAGCTCATTCCTGRCCCTCAGCGGTACCTGTTCATTGCTGAGGGTTAGCACTCTTTGTACCTCTAGTACCAGGCCCAACACCCAGGCTATAACCGGACTGCAGTCKCTGGTCATGGGTTACTGGAAACCCGGGTCCACAGGTCTACAACTGTGAGGGTACGGACACTGTCCATGGATACCCTGCAATACCTGCGGCAGCACCGGGAACTCATACCACCGGTCCTAAGGCCTCAACCAAAAATAGCGGAGTGGCACACCGCAGCAACCTGCACCGTTACTGTACCGATGACGAACTCGAAATAAACATCGAGGTTTACTATAATTTGCACCGTGTCGAGGATGGTTCAATACTGAACCTGTAGTACCGTTGCTGAAACAATATCTRAAAATAATGCAGTGGCGTGTACCATACCGTTGCCGAACCAATACGGAGCCTGAAAATGTTGATACCGTGCAATGCCRCGGCCCCTCRGGAGTATCAAACCATTACCATGCCAATACCGAACCTGAACAGTCTGCACCATACCGACGTCGAGTCTGTCCCGAACCTGAAAACTAATGCCARTCCGCTGTATCGTGTCAACGCCGGACCGTGCAGCCATGTCATAATAGTCCCGAACCTGCCCCAAGCCTGACTGTCGGGCCCGAACCAAACCAGCAACCGCACAAAGTATAGTAAAGSCACACGATCCATCTCAAAATAATCCCAGTAATGATACTGCGTTGATCATCAAATGCACACCCACTCATATCACACAGGTTGCAGCGAGGCTAAGTCAGGTAACTCACGCAAACGATCCCGATTACCGGGARTTAGAGAAAATCGTTAGATTTAGAGTAAATAAATAATCCGGGGGTAAATCCGATCGCAAATAATGTGATCAAAATTCAGTCCATTATTTAATAATGATTTTTAATTATTTTTCTTATTTCTTAATTCTATTATCG